CATTTCCCAGGTATATTCAAGAGCACGAATGCTATCCAGACTATATAAAGTACAGTGAACGCTCCACTTCGTCGAAACGCCCACACGGGAGCGAAGTGACTTTGAAAAAGCGATTATTTCTTCCTTTTCCCCTTTTCAAAAGTCACTTCGCTCCCGTGTGGGTGTTTCGACGAAGTTGCATGATTCTGAATGTTTGTGTTGAAAGTCACTGACCGGACGTCCGCTGCAATACAATCGGACTTCTCTGCCGAGGCCCTATAGTAAATCTCGACCTTTTTATTTGCGTTCCGGCATTGCAGTCACTATAGCGGCCTACTTTGGGCTGCTAAGCCCATTGGCACGAGGACGGCCTGCCGTCATCCGCAGCTGCTTATTACGGTCTATTGGACAGCTCGGAGTTCGTGGTGTGTGAGCGTGTACTGTTTGGTGGGCTAAGTGCGCTCGTTGGCTTGTTCTGTAGCCGAGGCGTGGACGGGGTGGATGCCCATTTTTTTTCTATGAGTTGCCCGCCCAAGTAGAAGGCGGGTGCAGTGAACTTGGCGTGTGTGTTCTTGTTGTGAACGCTTGCGACCTGGCCTTGCGGTCGTGCGAGCGAGTCCGGTCACTGACAGTTCCGTGCAGTATTGCCGGAGCCAAAACGGTCGAGGTCCGGCACTGACCAAGCCGATTCCTGCTTTTCTCATTTCCACAACCTGACTAGGGTGGCTATTGTTCATTGGTCAAAGTTTTACTGGTTGCGTAGTCAAGTCTGCTTGCGCATAGCTCCGTCGACTGACTGCGAAGCGGTTTCCATATGCTTACGAGTATTCCAATTCACTGATGAACCACGTACGAGGTGGGTGGTCTGAGGAATGGCTGGTTCACGACGATGGTTGCATTCATTGAAGAGAGTCGACTTGCAGTATTTCACGCAGTTAAACGTTGCAATGCAGTGTTAAGTGCGAAGAGAGCTTATATACTACAGAAGTGAACAAGCGGCTGTTTTAGTAATCAAATACTTGCGACAGGTTGTTCCTGCGTGAAGTATCATGGTATCTTAGAAGCATGTATATACCGGACGTGTTTCGGGCGGCAAGACGATGCATGAAATTTTACAAGCTGGTGGCAACATATGTGAACGCGTACAGTATATAGTTAAATTATCTGTCGAAAGTTCTCCCAAGCTGCCGATAGGGTTAAAAAGAAATTCGCCGATGGCATTCCGATGTGTCATTGCAAAATAATCGACAATAGTATCTATACATACCGTTGTAATCTAGCTCGCTGTTGCCTGTATATGCATCGCTAATTTTGGAATTTTTGGCGACATTATACCAGATAATACTGCAATGACTGAGTAAGACTTTCTTCGTGTATTGGTAAGACCACTATCCCTTAATACATTGAAGGACTCTGGTAAGACGAAATTACCGCCGCATAAATTGCTCGATTTACATAACCGAGGGTGATCGATGACCGTGAGTGAGTCATATGGTACACAACGATAAGTTTATTAGCCACTGATAATTATGAGTAACGAAATCATCGATGGTATTTTAGGTATATAGTTTCCATGAACTGAGTCAGTTAATGTCACGTTAGTATGGTTATTTACAGCTGAACGCAGAGGTATTCACTGAGCTCTTTCCGCTATATGGTGTCAGCGAGTGCGCCGCCATAGCCGTGGTCATTTGGCGGTGCTACAACTTACTAACCCGTTTTCTTACGAAAATGTCAACATAATACGCGCTTCCGAGAACCTTGGTTGTGGTCCGACGATGGTATTCGCGCGCGACACCACAAATATGGCGGCTGCCGCGCTAGCGTACCTTGCGGATGACGTCACGTGAATACCTGCTTACCTGAAAGTCGCGGGGTTGAATCCCGGCCGTGGCGGCTGCATTTTGATAAAAGCAATACTTCAGTAGTTGTCTGTGTATACTGTGTGCTTTGATATGGGCGAATGACAAGCAAATCTAGAAGGGTGAAATTTTAGGAGCTGTTTACTTCAGCGTCTCTCATATTCATGTCGTGATTTCGGGACTTAAGTCACAGAATAGTTCTAATTATTTATCAGGGGTGGCCAGTGATCAGTTTCGGTGGTACTGCACGATATTGTTCGCGAGCGTCGGTGGTGGCCCACGTTCCGGGGGCCGGCCTACCTGTCAACGTTGCCTCGCCGACCGATCCTTTTGTTGCTGGACGCAACATGCATGGTTCTTGCGAGGAACGTGGCTTGTGGCGTATCTGTTGTGGGGGCCGTTCCTCGTCTGTTATCTCGGGAACAACACGCAGACAGGCGGGTAAAGTACAGCGTGGTGGTCAGCCTCGTGGCGCGTTGCTTATTTCACCTCCCGCTTTTGTTTTCTATCTTGCTTACAAAGGTGGTCAAACGGATGCTTCGAAGCTTGTTGAAAACGTACCCGAGCGCGGGCTTTTAAAGGTGACGAGGGGAACGGCTGCAAACACCCCGCGCGCGCGTGCGAGATTCTATCCGTGTCGCCGTTGTCCGCCGTATTGGAAGGCCTTTGTGCTTTTCTTAGAGCTAATCCGGGACACCTAGCTTTTCTTTCGAACGCGTTTCTTCGATGCCGTACGCGCTCGCTCAGGTGCATTGTTCTTTTTAACTTGACCTGTCGATCCGGTTTGGCGCTGAACGCGCGGTAATGCTCTACAACGTCGTGTCAAACGGGTGCGGACGCGTTTTATACTTTTTTAGCCCTCGTCACGCCGCTGTAGCTGCCATTCAATGAAAAAGTACGGAACTTGTGTCGTACGTAGTGCGGCCGCGACTGCTCTGAACTATACACTACACGTTCGTTACTAGCATAATTGCTATGCTTTCCTTTTTAATTTCTTTACTGGTATACCGAATTGATAAGTAAGTCGCACTGTGTATTGGAAGTAACATTATTATGAAGGAAACGTCCATTGCTGCCATAAGTTTCGATGCCCCTCTTGACAATCGTGCGCCGTGGCGTCATATATTTTGACGGCGTGTGCCACTCGCCGTTTCGTCACTTATTTCGGTAGCTTATAACGCATTCGCGATAACATTTTCCCGGTAAACTGCTTGCGCGCGCCGTAGCGATATCGCACCATCTGTTTGCGATGACACTTGGCATAAGCGCCGCGCTCTCCCATGAAGCGACGCTAACGCTGTGATCGGTGTAGCGCGCGTCGGCAGCGCCTCTGATCGGAGCCCGCTGGCGAAAGGGGAGACCGACGTCGACGAACCCCGCCCGACGCGCGGCTGCAGCTGCCGAACAAACATTAGCGTCGAGCGATCCTCTTTTCCCCTACTCTTTTTCCCTGCCTCCCGCCTCTCGAGCGCCCCCTTTCCATCCGGCGTCCCCCGCATCTTCCCTCCCCTTTTTTTTTTCTGCAGCGTGTCCCGTTTCTCTCGCTTACACACTTGCGCTGTTTCCCTTTGTTTCATGTTGGCTCCCTCTCTGCCTTCGTCATTGACATCTGGGCGCCCGGTTGACTGGCGCCGTGTCTCTCTTCCTCGCCCGCTTTGATATCTTTCTCTTCTTTGTTATCCCCTTTGTTTGTTTTTTTTGCCAGTTTGTTTTCTTTATCGGTATCTCCGACGTTTAGCATCACCCCGCAGGCCACCCATTCTCAACTCCTCGGTTGCTACGTGAGTTTGGCGGTCGCGTGTCATTGGGATGGGGAAGGGAGGCCAGATTTTTCTTCCTTCTTTTTAATCCGCATGATCTTCGCACTTACGGTTGCCCTCCCGTCGTGTGTGTGGCCGGGACCTAGGGTCTTTTGTGTTTGTCTATAATCATTAGTAGCCACCCCCTGGGACGCCCTGCGCGATGATCGGTCTTTGAGCTGCCGGGCAGAGCAGATAGGATCCAGCCTTGCGGAATCGTTTAATTTTTTCCCTCTCTATGAAATTACCTGCCTCGTTGCTCTGTCCCTTCCGATTGCCTTTCGTGACAAACGCGCATTTAAGTGTAGCGGCTGCCATTGTCTCTGCTCCTCCGCGGCGCGGCGCCATTGTCAGAAGGTGCCGGTGTAGAACGACCGTTTATTCGCTTCTTGAAGAACCAGCGCACGCGAAACAGAAATGGCCCCCATTTCAACTGTGCCTTGTAGGTCATCGTAAAAGTTGATTACGAGCACTCAAGGGAATTCAGTGCTTCCCCGATTGCCCTAAACTGGTCCAGAAGAGAAATGCTGCTACGTCTCCTCCGAACTGATCTTTGACCTATTTCTAAACTGCAATGAGAAAATGAAAGTGAAGAACCTTAAGCATGTGGCCAACTTGCTTGCACCAAAGAAAAAAAAAAACAATCTGTATGATGTCACTCTGCAATTGTGCAGCTTCATCAGCTCTGATCTTGCTTATGCAACATGAGTTGGTTCATAAACCTTATAGCTAATTTAGCTGAGTTTTTTTAGCTTGGCATACTGGCTATTTTGTTTAAATGTGAAAATGATGGAAATAGCTTCGATGTGGTACCATTATCAACTGCTACTTTGCCATCACTATAGAACCACAGTCATATAACTGTTATCAATCAGCTTTAGTTCTACCAGCCTGACCTCATTTCTGTCACAAGTATTGGTATTTTAATTATGTGGATTCTATAGTCATTTGATAACCTGCTGTTTTCCTCATTTTCTTTTATGCAATTTAAACCAATCGAGGATTGTGAAACAACTGTTGTAAAGAATATTTTGAGAAAAAATGGCCATGCTTTGAACTCGAGGAACTGTAAGGGTTATTGGGCAGTCTGCTCCGAAACCATAAATAGTAACCTTAAACTAGCATTTCTTTTAATTCTCTGAAAACACTCGTGGCTGCTCCAAAGCAGTACTTCTCCGAAAGCTACTCCAAAAAGTAGTCACTTCCATCACTGTACCGGTATATTCTGGTCAGTTTGGCATAATACAACCATTTCGGTTGTGGTTTGCCTCTAAGTGCGATTGGTGGATGTGCAAGTGTTGTCATATCGACAGGCGATCTTGTGATCAATATTTTCCTTTTTTTTTTTTGTTGATTGCAGGCAGTGGCCCGTGGGTCTGAGCACAGTCTTGGCAAAGACCGTAGCACACCAGATGAACACATCCCTGAAGCTGAAGGCTGGGGGCTACACAGATGAAGGTACCTTGTCAATCTTTTGATTTGATGATCTCCTTTGATTGGTACCCACAAATGTGGCTCGGTGGCCTTGGTGTTGTACTGTCTGCTCAAGACTGTGGATTTCTTTCACTCCCGTTGTGGCCACATTACAATTAATGTGAAATGCAAAGGTGCTTTTTGAACTAGATGCAAGCTAAAAACTGCAAGAATATTTTGAGCATTCCATTGTCACTTTCCTCGTAGCCTTAGTATTCTTTTGTTGTGCTAACTATAATGAGTTGCTCTTTAATATAGTTACCTAAACCAATGTACCAGTTTTATCAGGCTGTGTAGAGATGCTGGTAAAATGTCAATTATATCTTTGATGTGCATGGTGAACAATGTGCCTAGCATAATGAAGAACTGGAGAGTAAATATGGAGTTTATATGTGAAACCTGAAAGAGCTATTTGCTCCGAGGTTCCACTCGTGCCATGAAATCAGACTTGCACAATATGTACGAAGGCCTACACAAATATTTATTGGTCTAAACAATTGATTTTGTGTTATAATGGAGCCAAGCTTGGCAGGTTTTTTCGTTCTCACGAAATCTAAATATGAAACTTTGAGCTACCTCTTCCATTCTAATTATTAAGCTATACTGGCGAAAATCGTGCCAGTTCTTGAATAATTTATTCTTCATCGATCTTGTTTTCCTGTAATGCTTATTGGAACTTTCGTTTGCGTCGATACTTCAAAAATGCGACGGCAGATTGTGACTGTGGCTATGCACTTCCTGGCCCACCCCCGCCTGTTTTTTAGCCATGAATGGAAGCTAAGAGCTACGTCCTAGCAACTTGCTTTCTTCCTTGCTCTGCAGACTTGGCTGTTAGCAGACTTCGAGCCACTGCAATGGAGGCCCTGGCTGAGCAGTGTGCCCTCTGGAGGGAACAGCCCGAACTGGCTCAAGAACTGCCCCACACACCTGCTGCATCCCTGCCTTTGTCGGCGTATGGAGTGCGCAACAACAGGCGCAAGATGGAAGATCGTCACCTGGCTCTTCCAGACCTCAACTTTGCTCTAGGACTTCAGGTGGGCATTGCAGGGTCTTTTGTGCTGACACAGCTCACAGTAGTACATTGTAACAGTGTTGTTTACTCGTCTTCTAAACAGTTTGCTCTCCAGTGAAATGACAGTCAGTGTAGCATATGTTGATGAAATGTCTGGCAGAGTTAAAGTTGTTCGGCTCGCCTGGTGCCGGTGTGTCCAGAAATATTTGCCCATTGTCAGAAACTCAAGCCAATGGTTAAATTCTTGTTTTGTGAACAGAGGCTCATTAGAGGGAACTGGAAAAAATCTGCGGAAAGTAATCCCCCAGATCTCCCCTTCCAGCATCCATTCTTGATGTCAAGACACAGGAGACTCGGAGATTAATGTCCCATACTAGCAGTCCTTCATTACCATTATTGAGAGCTGGGGTACGAGGTATTAGAGTTCCAGTTCTCAAAAGACGAAAATTTTCTATTATAGCAAATTTATCTCTTAAAACTTTCCGAATGTCCTGAGTAATTCCCCTGAGAGGAAACATACAATTGAACATGCATAAGGGTTGTTCATAGTTTCAATTCTCCTTCTCAGAGCCTACTTCTTCTCAGAGCCTAGACAATGTTCTCTTAGTGAAAACTACAGATCCTAAAGCCCTTTCTTCTGGTAGGGACCACATACCGTCCAATCTCTGAGGTCATGCACCAAGAGTGTTGTGAATTTCATTAAGAGAACAGTAGTTGCAATAGTACAAGCATTGTGCATTGAGGAGGAAGGGGGGGCAGGGGTCATTGCATTGAGAGCAGGGGCAGTGTATCTGCCATTGGCATGCGTAACTGGTGAGTGGCCAGAGGCAACAAGTGAGCAGGAATATAACATGTGACCAAAATATTCGAAGCCCTGGCATTCAGTGCAGGACAGCAGAAAAATGTGCTTAAAATTTATCGGTCACATGTGTGCCATTACTCTGTCACAGTTATGTACATTTGTGTAACAACACTGCATAGTTGTCATTGTCGCTACTCATACAAATAGCACAGACATGGCTAGTATTAGTGGTGCCAAACAATGCATGGTTGCTTTCATTGCTCCAAGCGTGCGTACTGAAAGTAATGAAATAAGGAGAATCTCTCTAGTCTCGCGTCATTTTTCATACTCTGCCCACTCCACTTTTCGGGAGGGAGCCTGAAACTGCTCGGGGCTGCTATCTGCACAGCAAAATTGCTCTTGCTTAGCTGCTTTTGACATTGAGTGTTCTTGATAAGTGTTATCACCTTTCACTATGTGAATGTACTTAATTTGTCTTCGTGAATGTTCTTGCGAGGTGGTGAGAATATGGCTGTGTAACTTGTGTTCATATTTGCTGTTCATTGTTTGTACTGCAGCACGATTGGTAGTAGATGAAAGCGTCTCGTTGCATTCACGCTCTGTTTTGGGAGTTTTTCTGCATTACAAATAGCGATGCTTGGTAGGTCATTCACAACTCTAAAATAATTGCACTCTCATAGAATATTTGTTTTTTTCCCTACTCCTTGCAGGGCCTTCCTCAGTACAGTTACTATGCAGTTTTTGATGGTCATGCTGGTGTAGAGGCAGCTGACTATGCGACCGCTCACCTTCACCGAAACATAGCTGTGCAACCGGACTTTGTCACCGATCCAGTGAATGCCGTTCGTGAAGGCTTCCTCCTGACGGACCGAAACTTTCTACAGCGTTCATCAAGAGAGGTAAGGAGAAAAACAGTGTAGCTCCATGACATTCTTGTGTATATTACACTAGAGTGAGCTTCCCTGTTACATGAATTTTTTTGGTCTTCAACAATATCCGAATGATTCGAATGCCAAAGTTTCATTGACATCATGGCACTTTAGACTTCTAGATGAAGAAAATCCAGACAATCTGCCTCGCATTTCTCTTGAGTGGTTGGTAGCAGCTTGCTCGTCAGGTCACATTATCAACAGCTCTTCTGTTTTACCGATTCATTTTGTACTCTGTAACCCTAAATCCAATAAATGTGTAACTTTTTGTTTTCTTCAAAACAAGTCGTACTGTGTAAAAATCGTAGTCCAAGACCTGCAGGGGAGCCACCTTGCAAGATTTGATCACTGAAGAGTGTGTGGCGTTGTAAAAAAGGTGACAAAAATGAAATTTTTGACGCAGTTGGTGTGGAGAAAAATATACACGGATACCTCTTGAACCTCTTCTTATTAGCTATTCCAATATATGTCGAGGCCATCACATGTCGCACCAAAAGTGCGATGACGCTGATCATACAAAATAGTATTCTGTATTCACTTGAATGGTAAGGCTTTGTGATTATGCATTACACCATTCTTACAGAATTTTTTTTCCCTTTTAGACCAGATCTCGGCAGGTTGTCACTGATGAGACCATAATTAGTTCATTTTTCTTGACTTTCTTGTGTGTCGCTAACACTCGAGATTCATACTCGCAAGATAGCACTCATAAATGCTGTGTTCTTAATACAGGGCCTCAAGAGTGGCTGCACGGCTGTCTGCTGCCTGGTGCGTGAGCAGCGGCAACTTGTTGTAGGCTGGCTTGGCGACTCGCAGGCCATCTTGGTCCGGAAAGGCATCCCCATACCCTTGGTCAACCCCCACAAGCCCGAGAGAGAGGCGAGTTTCGGTGCTGGCTGCAGGTTTAAATAGTGTCGGATCCTTGTTGGCAGGTGCTGTAATTGCACATGCTGTCTAGTGCGATTTCATTCTGCACATTTTTTTTTACTGCATCTGGCTAAGAAAATTAAAAACTATGCAATTTTATGTGTACCTAAGACTGCAAAACAGTTGTAATCTCTGAGCAACAGCTGTGTTGTAGTAGAGCAAATTTGAAATGTTTGTCGTGTAATGTTTGGGAACATCCAATGTAAAGCATCTTCATTGCTCGCTCCCTATATATGTTCCTGTTGCATTGCATAACCTCCTTATTTTAGTCATGCGCTCACTTCGTTCTCTACGTTTTCTTGTGCAGTATGGCAATAAAGGTTCGGATTTTGCTTATAGGAAACTACATGCTAGGGGTATACATACAGGATACCACAGTCTATTTTGATGCTAATGTGTTTTGATCTGTGCTTTTGAATATTGCTCTTCAGGTCAACTGTCAGCTAAGCAGGTTTTATCGCACATAAAAAGAAAAAAAGTGGTGCAGGGACAAAAATGTGATGGTGAATGATGCCTAATGATGTACGTAGGCTTTCCCTAAAGTCTGACCTAGTATACAGTAGATACTAAGTGACAGCTGCCATTAGTATTTTCCTGTTGCATTTGACATTTTGTACCGCCATTGCAGGTTATTACAGTTACGCACAATTTTTTTTTTCTGGACGAGTTGGTACTTACTGAATGACATTGCTGCACAAGACTCGCTTCTGCACAAGTTTTTTTTCCTGCTCCTGTGTGCCTCTTAATCCCTCTTTTTGAGTTCCGTGCTATCATGCTATTAATAACCTTAAAGCCATTCTTGCAGAAAAAGTCATGTAACGTCAGTAATGAAATATTTCAGAACATTGAAGGGGGACACTTTAGGTTTCTGGGCGCTTTGCCTACAGAAACGAACGATGAGCTGTATGACCTTGACATTAGCAATATGCAAGCTGCCCCAGTGGCATTGTTGGTGCAGCAAGAGCTGACATGTGCAGAGTGTCCACAAGACTTAAGGTGACAAACTGTGTAAAGAGGTAGTCTGTATAAAGAAGCAAATTGCTTAGAAAACTAGAAAAGACAATTCGGTCCACTTTCCTCTGCACTGTGGGACACTTTCTGCAACAGGTATACATAAATATTTATTGGGCCGTAGTTGTAGCAGTAAACAACTTTGTCGTCCTTAGTACTGGACTTTTTAACTTCACAATTTTAAACATTAGTTCAATTGGTTTCTCGTGGCATGTACTTGAATTTTTGTGCGAGCATGACCATTTTGCAAAGCTTGTACTAATTGCTTTCAATTTCAGGATGAAAGAAAAAGGATAGAAGAACTTGGAGGAGTAGTCCTACTGATGGGCATCTGGAGGGTAAACGGCGCACTTGGCGTGTCAAGAGCCATCGGTTAGTCTTGTTTCAAGTTTGCCTTGCCCTTGCCTAAGGCTACGGCATGCCATTTTGTTCGGTTAATAATGGCTCTGACTTGTCAATTTTTATTTTTGTTTTGCCTGCTAGTTACTGCCATTCCTAACCTTGCTGCAGAATTAGCTAAAGGCTAATATACTACACAATTTAACACCGTGCTATCACTCCTTTGTACGAATTATTCGTATAAAGTTGATTATCTTCTTTATGGTTTGGCAAGACAATACTTATTTTTCATGTAGAGTGCAGTCATTCTGCAATTGATGATTACTTTGATTACTGGCAGAAATTATCTTGCATCTAGGCTAACTTTCTAGATTTCCTCATTATCTGTACTTTTAAGGTTTGTTGAATATATTAGTGCTTACCTCGTCTTTCTTGTCAGAATGCTCACCTTGCTCCTTTTTACTTAAGAGTCGCAAGTGGTTGATAAAGCTTAAAATGGGACTGACAATCAGGCAGAACATGTCACGAGACACTGATGAAAGTAGGTTCTGAGTTATAGCGACAGAATCGAGAAATTATCATGATTTGAATGGTATTAGTATCTTGATGAGAAGTCTGGAAAATCTGCGCGTTATTACTCGGTGACAAACATTGTACTATGTGAACTGGTTGTTCAGACTGCGGAACATGATTTGCCATTGTTTAGGTGCGACAATCCATGCTTGAAGTTAGGCTGTACTTTACTAGGAGTCTATGCTTTATTATCTATTCATTGAGAAATAAAACTACTTAATGCTGAGTAGTGGTAGTTGCCCTGCTACAGGTGTAATTGTTGGGCTGCACCACATGCGTGTGGCGTGCATGCATGCGCAGCAAACTGCAGCGCATGAACACGAACCACTGTGATGCTCGCCTTCCATTGTTTGCAGCATGCGTAGTGTGCACGACTTCATTGGCACTATAGATAGAAATATACTGCCTCTTTCATGCACCGTCCACATTACCCCTCCATCATTAAGCACACTGACCGGTGAGCTTTCTGCTGCACTAAAGGTAAACTGGTCCCATGAAATTTGTTGGCCATTGCTTCAAGCCTCTAGATTTTTCTGGTTTCTTGAGGTTGCTTCTTATTCTTGTGTTAGTAGTAGCAGTAGCAGTAGCAGCAGCAGCAGCACCTACTATTGTTTCTTTTTTTCTTTCCTTGCAGGAGATGCCGAGCATAAGCCATTTGTAACCAGTGAGCCAGATGTGGTGAGCATGGACCTTGATGGCACCGAAGACTTCCTTGTCTTGGGTTGCGACGGTCTTTGGGACCAGCTGAGCCCCAAGAATGTGGCATCGAGAGTGTACCACGCAGTTCTTGAGGACCCGGAGAGTGCACCCTATGTGTCCCACACTCTCGTGCAGACGGCCAGAGACATGGGCTCATCTGACAACATCACAGCCATAGTTGTCTTCCTGCGTGATCCTCGCGACTTTAAGCCTTGCGTTCTGGACATTGTAGACTACTTCCCAAATCCAGTGCCTGGAAACGAGGTGCCAGCAACACCGGCCGAAGATGCAAAGGAGGCCTTCAATGCGAGCGAATTCGATGCTTCCAGGTTCAACAGCAACGGCTACGGAGCCCACTTATTCGATGCTGAAGCTGTGAATTCCCACACCTATGAGCATGCCGCCGAAACTGAAATGCTTCAGGTGGCCTCTGATGTGGTTCAAGGAACGATCGAAACAGCGCTGCATAGAGTCAATGAAGATGTCATCACTGCTGGCCAAATTGTCGATCAAGTGCACCTCCTTCACACTGAAGAAAGTGGAAAGTTCTCAGATTTACCTGAGCAGTTTCACGGTGCCATCCCAACTGATGGCAGTCTGGAAGACAAGTTTGATCAACCCGACGGCATCTCGCATGCTGCTAATGGATACGGTGACAACATACCAGAACGGCAGGCTGTGCACCACAACCCGTTCGATGACGAAGGCTATGGGCATGACCTCGAGACAGCCGAATGCCTTCAAAGCTCTGGTATTGGAGGGACCCTGGAAGAAAGTGGGACTGAAAGTGCGGAGCGGTTCTCTTCCTTCGCAGAAGGAGCTAATGAGGCTAGCAGCCAACTTGAAATGCCTCAGGAACAGACTTTCTGTACAGCACCAAGTCCAACACAGCAGCATCACGAGTTCGATACTAGTTTCGACCAGGAAGTTGATGCTAGGCAGCCTTCTCCAGTTGGCCAACATATGCTGCCCCAAGATCCACTGCTCGCTGCTGGTGACCTTGTTAGGGCTCCTGCTGAACCTGCAGCATCGAGAGAGGCTGAGCTTCCAGACGAAGGAGTTGATGTGAGCACTCTTCCTGAGGATGTCCAGGAAATAGAGGCAGCAAAAGAGCAACATGGGGCATCAGCCATTCAGGATGAGTGCCTTAGTACATTACCAGAAGACCAACAAGATTGCAAGCTTGCACAGCTCTGTGACATGGATTCTGTTGTTTACCAGATGCTGCTGAACATGTTGCTGCAGTTGCTGAGGCCACTCGGGCAGTACGTGATGCTGAAACCATAGGTATGGAACATTCAGACGATATCCATGGCAACATGCTGTCACCTGGTAACAACCAGGAAGGAGTGCAACAGCTTGATCACTTGTATGAAAATGCGCAACAGTCTGATCTCAACAAAGAGGAAATGCAGCTAGCACAGCCGTTGGAGCCCGAGCACGTCAAGGATGGCACAGATGCCGATATGGCTGCCAGTGGACTTAGTTATAATCAGCCCCTTAGCCTCCAGTCGGATGACCTTGTGTCTATTGACCTTAACAGCTCAGCCATGCAGTCACTTGCAGAGGCGAGTGCGCCTCCTCATGCAGCAGATAGTGCTTTTATTTGTGAGACTGTTGCAGTGCCGCATGAAGACACAAGCATGGCATATGTCACAAGCGAAAATGCCCAAAATGAGCAGCCTGTCTGCGAAACATTGGAGAGCCTTGGTACGGACGACGCTGATGACACCTCTTTGGGTGGTTCTGCGGAGTCCATTGTTGAGAAAGTCACTGCCGAGCCTGTCCAGCAAGATAGTGCTGTTATCTTTTGCGAGCTCAAAGAATCTCCTCCTGTGGAGAACATTCTCAATGTGCAGTCTGACGAAAGCGAACAAAAAGTTGACGATCTATGCTACAATATCCCTGTTCAGCATGCAAGAACAAGTGCCAGCGGAAGTGTCCTACGCAGGTTCCCAAGACAGTTTTGTGCTTGGCAGCCAAGTTTCTGAGCCTTTCGTCCAAGACTCTTTTGCTGTACCTACAAGTACCGAAAACTCCTTCGCCTTAGAACATCCACCTGAGGAACCCTCCTTGCAGTCTCCAGACTCTCTACTGCAAGTTGAGCCCCAACAACCTGCAACAGCTGCTATATCTCCAGTCGGTGATGCTGAACAGCCTTGTGAGCCGTCGTATCAGAATCTTTCCGAGGAGGCACAGAGTCCGCATCTTCAGTCCCAGAGTCCCGCGATTGAGGAACATATGGAGCAGAAGTCTGTCGCACTTAACGTGGTGCACTGCATGAGCGAGAACACAAAACCTACGGTTGATGAAACTCCCGCTCCTGTGGTTGACGTAGGTGCGATTCCACAGAACATTCCGGAGGCAGATGGGGTCACTGACTCGGACTCCGAGAGGGACAATGAGTGGCGATTCGTGAAGCCCGTAGAGCCTGTTATTTCGCAGTTGGCAAAAGAGGCTGGTCAAGTTCCGATCCAAGGTTCTCAGGCTGCTGAGATGATTCATGCAGAACAGAAGGAAGCAGCCTCTTCTGAACTAGTTCAAAGTACTGCAGAGACTAGTGCTTCCGAGCCAAAGGTTGATGCTGTGTCAGGACACGAAGCAAGATTTGTTACCCGAAACAAAAGCCGAAGTTGATGTTGCAGCTGCTCAGAAGGACACATTACCCGAACGAAAGGCTAGTGCCGCAAAACTTACTTCCGGTGCAAAGCTCTCACCAGCTGCCCAGAAAACAAAGCCAGCTGCTAAAGCATCGCCTGCTCCAAAGCCAAGGACATCCTCCACTGATAAGCCTGCAGCAAAGCCACTTCCTTCAAAGACAGAACCATCCTCTAAAGCTACGCCTGCAACTAAGTCTCCTCTGAAAAAGCAGCCTGTGGCTACAAAACCTACCACAGCAACTACGACAGCAAACAGAGCACCACTGCGAGCAGCACCACTGCGAGCAGCACCACTGCGAAAACGAACCTAACCCGCAAGCCCGAGCCACTAAAGCCCAAATCGGCCACGGCTGCCACCGATGCACCAACCAAGAAGCCAGTTTCTGCAACCTCAAGGCCTTCGGCTGGATCCACTAGGCCCGCCCCATCCAAACCACCAGAAAAGAGCACGGCTCCAGCATCAAAGGCCAAACCGACAGCACCATCATCCACAGCGCCTCGTCCTCGAACAACCATCGGATCTGCATTGACATCGTCTGCTAGCAAGGCAGAAGTTGGAACTGCCGAAAAGAAGCCCACTACTAAACCGGCCCCAACTCGGCCTCCCATTTCCAGGACTGCACCAAAATCTATGCAGCCTGCCAGCAGTAGCTCTGCACCGAGAGTTGGATCAAGCACTACGGCGAATCGTCCTACTACAGCACCCATTTCGAGGCCTGGAACAACATCGAGGGTTGGTAGTGCCTCGACTGCCGCAAAGAAGGTGACGGATGCCGCAAAGAAGGTGACGGATGCCGGTGCTGCAGCTGTGAAAACATCTTCCGCGAGGGTTCCAGCAACGCGAGATGCGAAGCTCGGCAAAGACAGCACCAACCAGCAGCTGGCTGGTGCAAGACGAACGGAAATAACTCAGAGAAGTGCTGCTAGTAGGACGGCCACCGCGTCAAAAACTGCCGCAACAAAGCCAACGACAACAAGCAAGTATGCTGCTGTTAGAGCAGTTCCCAAGGGGGGCGGCACCGCTGCTGCCGCAGCAAAAGCTGCTGCTGCTGAAAATCAAAGCAATGGAGAACCTGCTGCCAACTGCAATGGGACACCAGAAGAGAAGGGCACGCTGGAACAGAAAGACAACAAGGAAGCCTTTGCGCCTGCAGGCGAACCAGGCATCCTGAGCAATGGCAGCCACCCGGAAAGCGACGAAATAGCTAAACCCGCTGCCATTGCGGAAAACATGCCTGACGTCCCTGCTGTGGATGTGTAGTTTTACTATCTTGACTCTCTACTAGTCATTCTGCTCTATCCTGTGCTTTTTTTTTAATCTTGCAACGGTGCAACAGTATTTTTGACAGCTCCTTTTTACAACGAAAAATGTGCAGGGACAAATAATGAGCATGCATGCTACAGAATTATAGGTACAAGGTCACTCTCTGTATGGGAAGTCTTTGATACTTGCGCACATCCCTTTTTATCGAATCTTTTAATTTACGCATTTGATAAGGTGCAGGTACTGGCTGGCGCTCAAGCCAGAATTTTTTTTTCCTCTTCCCTGCCCGTTTTACCTAGCGTTAGTTGTATGCATAGGCTGTCATGCCCTGTTCTGAAGTTTGCAATTTCCTCTTTCTCTCTCGAAGAGATTGTGCCCAGGTGCGAGTGTATACCAAAGACTGCTTGGATGCCTTGCAAGCATCGTTTTTTTTCGTTAGCCCACTCGCATCAACTGCGAAGTTGCAAAGGCATTCTGAAAAGCAGCAAGACGTACTCGCTTCTTGGGCAGGTGTTATTTATTTTTGCATCAAGTGTCCTTAATGAGAGGAATGGGAGGGGATTGCTTTGTTTTATGCTTACGTGCTTTGACTTGAGGGCTCAGTTGAAATGCAATGTGTTGAGCAATTGTAGCAAAAGTCGACATTTCGATGCATTTACCAAACTGCATTGTTTTCCCCACTGGCTTGTGGGTTGGTGTAATCCGTTGCTGAACCTGAATATAACGAAGTCTCATCTTGGGCAAGATAGTGTTATACTACGACGAATGCGTCTCTACACAGGTACTTAGGCAAAGAAATATTCGCAATGTTTCACCAAGTTTGCATTGTTGCATGCACATATGGTCGATAATGCATACTTTGGGCAACTATGAAACTAATTATTCTCTGCTGTACACTAACATGTCATATCCTGTATCTGGGTCTTACACCAGCCATAGTTGATTTGCTTCGTTATATCAAGGTTCAAGTATTGCTTAGGCCATGTTGCTAAGTTTCTTTTAAATTCTTTTCCAGTTACAATTCAGGTTTCAGTCTCTTCTACCCTGCACGTCGCTGCAGATGTGTAACAGTCCTCCACAGAGAAGTCCTGCAGTTCTTTATAGTGATGTGTTCGGCTTGCATGTTTTCTATGCAACATTTATAAATACGGCACACAGAAGTGTTCCAACCCAATAACCTCTTTGATAGCACTTTTTCGTGGGGAGTCCCTTGCCTGCAACATGGGCAAGTTCATACGTTGTCTATGACTTATTTAAAAGTATGTATTGCATCACCTTCTTTTAGGGACCTTTCTTTTTTCTTCTGCGATACTTTTTACACATACTTTGCTGAAATAAAAAAAAAATTTTATGAATACTTGAGTGTTGTGTTCCTTCGTTTCACCATCTGTGTTGACAAACTTCTGCACGCTTTCTTGTAAAGCCTGCTCAGCCTTAAAATGGAATATTGTGATACAGGTGTCCCACATCAACTTTATATGTCACCGGGTTGACTATGTTGCTGCCTTGAGAGCAATAGCAGTGTGGCAGATTGCATATGGCAACAGCTATGTTTCATTTTGACGCTACTCGGAGTTCATTCTTGAGCGAGTTCTGAACATCTGCAGCAAGATAGTTACTGAAAATAATCTGCATATTCAAGTTTGCACCTCTGGTGAAAGTTTGTGTTGCTTTCATTTCGCTGGATTTCTGGAGCAAGAGCAATTGATCCAGCTTCAACTTAGCCAATGGTCTGTTGGGCAGTAGGCTAATAAAACTCGCCAAGTGCATTGGTCTTAAGTCTTTACGCTCAATCTTTAAATGTGGCTTGGTGTGCTCATGACAAAATCCTTGTAGACTACTGATAATTATGAAGTGCCTTATCAGTGCTGGAAAAAATTCTACTCTGCAAGAAAGAGTGATTGTTACAGGCGTGAGCGAAATTGGAACATAGGTTTTTAATTACTGGACATGCCTTGATTAACTGGTACTCTGTGTTTCTAAGGCGTAGTTGCACATGCGACATGGTTGCACATGCAACGTAAAAGGCTAGTCACTTTATTGCACGACACATTCAGTATTGCAACTGCTGCGAGCTGACTGGTTGACTGGTTCGGTGGTTCGCTGCAGTAGCTAAGCACATAGTGCAAGGCAGAAGAGCCGCTGATGCCACATCCTTTTTATGGTAACGTGCCGATAATGCCGACCAAAAAAAAAAAAAACTAACATTGTTAAAAGTTAAAAATATAGGCGAGCTTGTGTACACTCAAAGTGGTGAACATTGCAGTTAGGGAAAGGGAGACTACAACCAGATAGTTGCACCTACTGGTGCAACTAGTAACCGTACTGCTTACATATCCAGTCCTCTGCTCTCGGTCTGGTGTTTGAGTTGAAACTAAATGAAATGTACAGCAGACCTTGCACCCTCATTAACATACAAGTGTGACTGTCTTGAACATGCTATTAAGGGGTATCTGTAGCCTCAATAAACTCTTCTCTACTTTTCATTCATAGTGTGTTCATGCAGAAATATACTAAACTTCTCATGTGTATCACACAAATTTTCAAGAATGCTGGAGACATATAAGGGTACTAGTGTAGTGTATGTGTGCCTGTGGCAGTTTGACCATTGAAGTATGACTACTCAGTCTGCATGGTAATGGGCAATAGTACATTAATTTGCCAAGACTACGTATTTGCCTTTCACGTGAACAGGATTGTTCACAATTTCGTTGTAGGTTTTCAAATATCTAGATCTAACAACAGTAAGTTTTGCAATTTATGTAACCACTAGTAGATGCAATTATGTAGATTTTAATTTCGTAAGGAATGGGAACATGCAACAGCCAGGATTAAATGCATATTTTATTACTTCAAGAATTAATGCTTTTCACCTGCAGCCTTGTTCTTTTTGATCGCACAAAATGGGAAGGGAACAATGTTGTATACTGTGTTCAGAATGCTGACACTAAGGTTTTGGTTGCTACAATTCAAAGTGGGCAAGCTTGCTTGGATATGAAACGACTTGAAAAAAGCGGTTTCGCACATTTATTTTGCATTTAATGTTGCAGACACTGTTTCAGCTTCTTTGGCAAGCTGTGGACTCTGCATGTTTTGCTAGTTGTAAACATTATAAATAGGTTTGAGGCTAATGCATGACACAGCACAGCTTAAACAAGGCTGCCTACAGTTGGGAAAATCCTTTAGCTCCCTGTGGCTTGTCTCACTTTAGGACTTGATTCAACAATGGCATGGTACTGTGCAATTCGACTATACCTATAAAAGCAAAAAGGAAGTTTAATTGAAATTTGTGCAACAGCATACGAAGAAATCTGGACAGGAAGACATTCAAGAGCTATTTTATAATCCCTCGTGCTGTACCAGTTGGTTAAAACCATCTGCTGTAGCCAATCTAATTCTCGTACAATAGGCACTATTTGTTTCTCTCTTTCAAAGGGCTGAATTTTTAAAGCCTAAGGACATCGTCGAAATGCAACGTCTACTCAAGTGAAGCGAGAGTCATTGTATGACCTGTGACACGGTATGCAGATTAGTACAAAATGTTTACTGTCAATTTAACTTGTTGTTTTACGCCGATGGAGTAGATTCATAACATATCCATGCACCCTGGACATGAAGGAAGTACGCAAGATGCCTTCAAATTGTGTCGCTTTCTGCTGGCAAGCCTTTTTACTTCTGCTAACGTGATAGTGCAATGGCACTGCTAAACGATGGTATCTTGTCAGTGCACAATAAAGAACACCAGATTCAGAATTTCCAGAGCCCTCCACTACTGCATCTCTTATAATCATATTGTGGTTTTGGGATGTAAAAACTCTCATATAATTAGTGATATCTAAAGTAACAACATACCATTGCACACAATAAATAGCATTTCTGTGCCAACTGGCTATTAATGGCTTCACTTCAATGCGAAGATGGTTAAATTAACTGGAGAAAGTGTGTTTGATGGACATTTCAAAAGGTGGACCTATCATTGTCAAGGATCCACTGATGTCTGCCTTAGGCATTTTTACCAGCTCATTTCATCTATTCTGACTTGGCGCTTTCAATCTGTCAGCTACCTCCTCAATTCCGGATTCACAGTTTTAAATATCTGCATCATAGGAATGCTTTCTGAAAGCTCTGGACATGTATAGCGACAGCAACAACTAATTATGTTGAAAAAAGAATTGATCTAGGCTCATAAGTAATTCATCTGTTCTGTATGTGCTGGAAACTATGGTGTAGAGCGTTCTTGGCACAGCTCAGAGCACACACTGCACTTATAATGCATAGTACAGCAGTAGTGAGCTTCAACTCTAATCAGGTTCGATGACTAATCAGTCACATCTGTTCAGGTTGGAGAGAGGCGAGCAAAGCCATAGTTTATTGCTAAGCGAACATAACAGAGCAGCAACTGACCGTGTTAGACACTCTGTCGCACAAAGTCGGCCTATTAAAAGTGCAGTCTCTGGGCACAAAACCTGCGTCCACCTTCCATTTCTTGCACATGATGTCCCACATGCTGGTTTGCATCAGCATTGTCGCTACGATAACTCTGGCGAACCCATACTTTGGAAGCCACTGGAATCGCTAGACATGCTGCTTGTCTTTTTACGGGGGGCAAAAATTTTCCACCACTTTTTTGTTGAACTCGTAGACTCGTTCTCGTCTTTGACAGGAGTCTTCATGGGCACAGCTCTCGCCGGCTTCGTGCCGAGAGGGGGCGCGGTGCTCATGACGAGAGAGGGCGGGATCAGGGGTGTGGTGGTGGCCGAGGTGCGGACAAACAGAGAGCTCCCGTCGCACCGGACCGACTCGATCAGTTTGATCCAGTTCCACTCGGCCTGCTTGGAAGTGTTATCACAAAGATTGATCTTGGAGATCATCCGGATCGTGCCCTTCAACACGCACTGCTTGACGATCACCGGTATCAGTTTTTGCTGTGCTTGTTCTGCCAAGAGGAAGTGAAATACCGTGAAGGTTAAATAATGTTGGGCTTGTACAATCCATATCAAAAGATTACACAATGTACACCTCGGAAGCAACACTCTCCCCATACCTCAAAACTTTTTTTTTCATTTATTACCTAACAAATTATAGTCGAGAAAATCGTATGGGACATCAATTATTGTATTAAAATGAAGTGTAGTAATCGTAAAATAAATTGAATTTATGTGGACCAAAAATCACTCTCAGTCAGGGAGATACAAACCCACAACCTCGCATTAAACAATAAGAACAATAAATGTGACATTTCTGCTAAATTTAAATAAGACCAGTGGAGCAGTCAGTGAAAAATCTTTTTTGATAATATCAAACAATATTAAACCTATGTATACACAGTAGTATATACCACATTGTCCCAACCAATGGCAAATATGTTAGGCACAACACATAACCACACTCAACAGCTTCAGCATCTAGTGCCTCTACTCCTCGATCACTCGTGTTTTACCGAGGTCCTCCAATCAGATACTCCTAGTTCCCAAAGTTCATCGCCATTCCTCTATGTGCTGGAGAAGCGAGACATCTGAAGTAGTTATTACCTTTGGCTGATCTATCCGACTTACTCAATTGAAAGGAGGCATAAAAGTTGGTGGACAAAATATAACTTTTCTGAGATCTGTGGCAGTTGTAACTGAAAATTTGTTACTGATAAGGGTATGAAATACTGTGAACATAAGTGCAGCTGCACTTTGCTACTGAAGCACTGCACTACCATTATTTCTGTGTGCCATTGTATTGATCATTTGATAAGTGTCAGATGTTTTGAAGGTCAAGAGATATCGCAGACAGACTCAATGCCAGCACGTGCAACCTTCAGTGTAGTACTGGCTTATGCATGGTGTAACCTGGTCAGTTCACTGAACTTTCGCAGTTTGAGTCCGTCGCGGTGGTGTAGCAGTCGGGGCGCTCGGCTGTTGACCTTAAATGTCGCGGGTACGATCATGGTTGTGGCAGTTCCATTTTGATGAAGCCGAACGCTAGAGAACCAGATGGTCGAAATTTGCAGAGCTCTCTACTCCAGTATCCCTTATAACCATATTGTAGCGATGCTGACGCCGACAGGTTAAGAAAACAAGCGTCTTTATTAGGGCGAACTTGTGCCCACGATTCTAAAAACTATGGTCGTCAAGTTCGAGTAGCCGAGTGGCACAGATCCGACTATCTTCCTCTTCCTCGTTGTTGAACGAGCGAACGCGTGGCGCATGCCAGCCGAGCCGGGTCTTGCTGGTGCTGGTGCCACGATGATTGTGGCAGGCTACTTGAATGTGGCGAACCTGTCGCAGCATTGCCCCCCTCCTCAGACGCATCGTCCCGATGCTTAAGACAGTGAAAAGATACACGCGCACTCTCACTCGTTTTTCGACGATCTGTCATGATAGGGCTTCATGCGGACTACGTGGACCACTTCCGTGGGATTGCGGCGTCTTGAACTCACGTGTCCAGCGGATCTAACTTCATAAGTGACGTTGCTGATACGGTTGAGTACTTCATAAGGGCCGAAGTATCGGCAAAGAAGCTTTTCAGAGAGTCCGTGGCGGCGCACTGGTATCCATATCCACACTTTGTCACCGGGATGATAAAGTGTGTCACTGCGTCGCTTGTTGTAGCGACTAGAATCGACGTGCTGTTGGTGGCGTATTCGATACCTTGCCATTTGCCGTGCTTCTTCGGCTCTTTGCAAGAAGTCATCTAAGTCAGGTGGATAGCTGCTTTCGTCCTGTAGTGGTAACATGGCATCCAGCGGGGTGGTCACTCTTCGGCCGAATACTAGTTCGAAAGGGGCAACGTGGGTTGTTTCTTGAACGGCTGTATTATATCCGAATGTTACGTAGGGTAATATTTCGTCCCACTGTTTATGTTCAACATCAACATACAATGATAGCATGTCGGTCAAAGTTCTGTTGAGGCGTTCGGTTAAGCCATTTGACTGAGGGTGATACGCCGTTGTTCTTCTGTGATCGGTATTTGTCATGCGCATCAGACATTGCATAAGGTCTGCAGTAAATGCTGTGCCCCGATCCGTAATAACGACGATGGGCGCACCATGTCTGAGCACTATGTTGTTCACAAAGAACTTGGCGACTTCGGCAGCTGTCGCACTGTATAGAGAGTCAGTTTCAGCATAACGGGTGAGATAGTCTGTGGCTACGGCTATCCATTTCTTGCCTGCACGCGATGTCGGCAAAGGTCCTAGGAAGTCCATGCCAACTTGTTGGAATGGGGCATCTGGAGGGTCTATTGGCTGGAGAAGGCCGGCTGGTTTTACGGGTGGAGTTTTGCGCCGTTGACATGGACGACAAGTTTTCACGTAGCGCTGCACTGATGCGAGCAACTTAGGCCAATAGTATTTCAGGCGAATCCTGGCGAATGTTCGGCTCACACCCATGTGTCCAGATGTTGGCTCGTCGTGGCATGCATGCAGAATTTCCTCTCGCATGGCTGTGGGCACGACTAGTAAAAACGTTTCACCATTAGGTTCGAAGTTCCTCCTGTAAAGGACACTTCCTCGAAGGCAGATTGCGGAGAGCCCTCTGGAGAATATGCGAGGGACTTGAACGTCGAGACCCTGCAGGTGTTGTATAAGTGCCAGCAAATCCGGGTCATCTCGTTGTAGTTGAGCGATTTTGGATGTGTCGACAACGCCTAGAAACGGGAAGTCTTCCTCTTCAGGTACACTTGGATCGACAGGAGAGCGTGACAGGCAGTTGGCATCGCTGTGTTTCCTTCCCGATTTGTACACGACCGTAATATCATACTCCTGCAGCCTGGCTCCATCTTGCTAGTCGACCTGACGGGTCCTTGAGATTTGCCAGCCAGCATAGAGCATAGTGGTCACTGACAGCTCTGAACGGTCTACCATAAAGGTAGGGTCGAAACTTGTTTATGGCCCAGATGACTGCGAGGCACTCTTTTTCAGTTGCAGAGTAGTTTGCCTCAGCTTTTGATAGTTTGCGGCTGGCATAGGCTAACACTTTCTCTTGACCATTTTGCCACTGGACAAGGATGGCGCCGAGGCCGACATTGCTGGCATCGGTATGGACTTCTGTGTCGGCTGTCTCATCAAAATGGGCAAGTATTGGTGAACCCTGTAGTCGTTTCCTTAATTCGTCAAAAGCTTTCTGTTGTTCGCTTTCCCACGTGAAGGGCACGTCGTCTTTTGTCAGTTTTGTAAGAGGTTCCGCAATCTTTGAGAAGTTTTCCACAAATCATCTATAATAGGCACATAAACCCAAAAATCGACGCACTGACTTTTTGTCTCTGGGTGTAGGGAACCTCTGAACAGTGGCTGTCTTTTCGGGATCAGGACGAACACCCTCGGAACTAATGACACGTCCAAGGAATCGCAGCTCTTCGAAGCCGAAGTGGCATTTTTCGGGTTTGATTGTCAATTTCGCTGACCGGATGGCTTCCAATACTGTGCGTAGTCGCTCTAGATGTTTGTCGAACGTTGCAGAGAATACCACCACGTCATCCAAATACACTAGGCATGACTGCCATTTAAATCCGGCGAGGACAGTGTCCATGATTCGCTGGAACGTCGCTGGTGCGGAACAGAGGCCGAATGGAAGCGCTTTGAATTCGTAGAGGCCATCTGGTGTTACGAATGCTGTTTTTTCATGGTCCCGCTCGTCGACCTCTATTTGCCAATATCCGCTTTTCAGATCTAAGGAGGAGAAAAACTTTGCGGATCGCAACCGATCTAGTGTATCGTCGATACGTGGCAAGGGGTAGACATCTCATTTAGTTACACTGTTCAGTTTTCTGTAGTCGACGCAGAATCTAAGTGTGTTGTCTTTCTTCTTAACGAGCACTATGGGAGACGCCCATGGACTATTCGAAGGCTGGATGACATCATCAGAAAGCATCTCCTCCACTTGCTTCTTGATAATTTCCCGTTCTTTCTGTGACACCCGATATGGATGCTGGCATATAGGCCTCGTGTCGTCTTGCGTTATAATTCTGTGTTTCGTGATTGACGTGCGCTGGACCTTCGAGGTACTTGAAAAGCAATCAGAGAATTCTTTTACCAAGGCGTAAATCTGTTTCTTCTGACTGTCCGGAAGGCTCTGATTGACGGTCACGGATGTGTCGATGTTGCAGGCCACTGGTCGAGTGGTTGATGTCGTTAAGCTGCATAGTTCGGTCGCCATACAGAAGTCGTGTAAATAGGCGATAGCCGTGCCTTGAGCGATGTGTTGAAGCTCATTAAGAAATTTGTGAGTAGGACATCTGCACGGCCATTCGTCAAGTGAACAAGACCCCTAGCTACGCAGACACCTTTGTTCAAAAACAGTCCTACATTTGTATCCGCTATGCCTTCGCGGTTGTACAATGTATCATTTTCTCCGAGCACCATTATACTGCAGCGTGGCGGCACAGTTACGTCATCATGAACAACGCGTAGAGCAGTTAGGCGTCGTTCCTCAGATTCCTCCACAGGTATAGCTCGTTCAGTCGAAAACGACACGCTGGACCTACGCAGGTTAATTACGGCGCCATTAGCTCGCAAAAAATCCATTCCTATAATGAGTTCTCTTGAACATTCTGGCAGCACAATGAAATCGGCCACGTAAATAAAGCCCCGTATTTCAAGTCTTGCAGTGCATCTGCCAAGGGGCGTAATAATGTGACCGCCTGCCGTGCGTATCTGCGATCCACTCCACTGTGTCACAACTTTGTTTAGCTTTTTCAACATCTTGTGACTTATCACTGAATAATCAGCGCCGGTGTCGACTAAGGCATTCAGCTCCCATCCTTCCATTCTCAACCGCAAATCTGAAGTAACGTTTTCGTTGCTGCACCCATCTACCGGAAATACACCGTCATCACCCTCAAACCGAATTGGAGGATCTTCGTAACTGACGTTATCAGCGGCCTCACCTCCACAGGTCGCTTGCTTCAGTTTTCCGGGTGTGGGCTTGGAGAGCGATGACCAGGCTGCCTTGAAGGTGTACGTGGGCTGGATGACCGGTAGCGCATAGGCGATGGTGACCGTAACCGGTGTTGGCGTAGAGTTGGCGAGTTCTGGCGCGTCGACAAGTACTCCTCAATCTCCGCTGGTCGTTCGCCGTTTCGGGGGCACGGCGCATATGACGGGAAGCCTCTTAATTCAGCCTGTCGGTAAGGACAGAATCTGTACAGATGACCCGCTTCCCCACAATGAAAACACAGAGGCCTGCGCTCGTGATCACGCCAGACGTCACTTTTCCTGGGCCTACGCTCCACATAGTGATGTGTGCTACGTGCTCCTGGGGGCAGATAGGTAGCTGTCGGTTCCCGTGGACGAGGTGCGCTGCGTGCCGCAGGTGCGAGAGGAGTCGTGGGAGAGGAGTCGTGTACCGTGGGTTGTCTGACAACCTCAGAGTATGTTCGGATAGGTCGAACCGGCTGCAGCTCACGCTCTGGCTCTTGTATCACCTGCCTCAGTTCGTCACGAACAACGTCCGTAACAGATAGTGCAGTTGAAGTCTGGGGCATATGCAGTCTGCTCAGTTCTTCTCTGATAACTGATCTAATTAGCTCTCGCAGGGCTTCAACGTCGTTTCGCACGCCTCCGGGGAATACCTGTGCAGATGTGCAGCTAAGATTCCGGTTGTACTGCCAAGCCCGCTGTTCCAGTGTTTTTTCGATGGCCGTCGCTTCCGAGTAAAACTCGGCAACCGTGCTCGGAGGGTTGCGGACAAGAACGGCGAACAGCTCTTGCTTCACTCCGCGCATTAGATGGCGCACCTTCTTATCCTCAGCCATGTTGTAATCCGCACGCTTGAACAGGCGGACCATGTCCTCAATGTACATAGCAGCACTCTCGTTCGTTAGCTGGTTCCTCGATTGAAGAGCTACCTCCGCCTTTTCTTTCCGGTCTATGTTCGCGAACATAGCCACCGCTTGTCGTCGAAATACCTCCCAGGTAGACAACGAGGTTTCATGGTTCTCAAACCATGTCTTCGCGAAGTCTTCCAGGGCGAAGTATACGCGACGGAGCTTCTCTCTTTCGTCCCATCCATTCAAGCTCGCTACTCTCTCGAACAGGTCCAACCAATCTTCAACATCCTCGTACGAGTCGCCGTGGAAAACTGGCGGCTGGTGCGGTTGGCTAATGAACACTTGTGCCGGTGTTACCTGGCTAGTCATAGTGGTGGCATCCATCGTTTGAATTCCCCTTAGTGTGAAATGAAGAGGACCGAACTCAGGTGAGTCACCTCGAAGACGGCGACTTGCCCTCTGGTGTACAGGAGTCACTTCCACGGGGTTGACACGCTGGTCGTCGGGGCTACGCTGTCTTGAGCTCGTGGGGCTTCGATTCATAACCCAGCACTTCCACCAGAAATGTAGCGATGCTGACGCCGACAGGTTAAGAAAACAAGCGTCTTTATTAGGGCGAACTTGTGCCCACGGTTCTAAAAACTATGGTCGTCAAGTTCGAGTAGCCGAGTGGCACAGATCCGACTATCTTCCTCTTCCTCGTTGTTGAACGAGCGAACACGTGGCGCATGCCAGCCGAGCCGGGTCTTGCTGGTGCTGGTGCCACGATGATTGTGGCGGGCTACTTGAATGTGGCGAACCTGTCGCAGCAATATCTAAGCTTTTGGACATCAGACCGTAGATATTGTTATTGTTTATAAACTTGCACACCTAAAGAAGCTCACCTGCATTATCGGTTGTGTGAGAGTCACTAGAGGTTTTAACGCATATATCTGCACATGGAGGAAGATAATTGGAACAGACGTAAATACTACTGGCAGGCTGGCTAACGTGCAAAGTGTGGCATTTGGGACAAAACTTGTCACGCTGAATTTTTCTATCGACAAATGGCGATATAGGTCAATGCTCTTCATTTATACTTGCATCAGGCGTCGGCAAATTCACTGACATTACCATGAGAACCTGCAGCAGTTGCTCCCGCGTAAATGTCTGTGTGGTTACATAAAAGCTCTTCAAATCTTGCAACCATGGGATATGCTCTTCCGGTTGTATAAGGTTGCAAGGAGGGTCTACACTAATGCCAAACTGATAGTCGGTGGCCCTCGATCTTTTCCAACTCTAAATATTTATTTTTTCGCTAGTTGCAGTTAAGGCACAGAACAACAATGCTACATAATGAGCAAACATCATCAGAAGCTGCTTTTTGATCTGACAGCGTTGCTACAGAGAAAAACGGTTTCTGTCATATCAGTACATTACTTTTCCACAATTCCAAGATCATCGAGCTTGTCACAAAAGGACACTTGGTAAGTGGGAAAATGCACAGAAAGAAAATGCAGCTGGCAGAACTACCTCGAAGTTCCCACACCAAACATAGCAACTTCATAGATTTCGACAATGCCTACAAGGTCATGACTGATATGCTCCTTTCTCTTTGAAATGTGGGATATAGTCCCTTCAAGCACCACGTGTACAATTGGACACATAAACTACGATAGGGCGTCATGCACTAAGTGTTGTTTTTAATGGCTTGAAACACAGTGCACACATTGATTGAGGCCTGCAGGGAAGACATCTAGCGGTCATTTAACCTCATTGTGCTGTGAGCTTCATTCCGGCAGAGGACCGCTTTGCTAGAAAAACTGCCATGTTCGACAACCGTAAGAGGTGCCACGTCCCAGAACCAATGCCAAGAGTTTTTTTTTTTTTTTTTTTAATCTCTGCTGGACATGAATGCAACAAAAAAAGAAAACTGCACACATTCTGGGCTTAATACTTGGTTCTCTTTATGCAAGGAGAGAAGTGTATTATCAATTACTCAAACTCTGACAAAACAAAACTTTCCTGCATTTTCTTTCCAGGAATATAATACTGAGCGTCTTGGAATTCTGCCATGCAGAATTGACATATTTTCAGACAGTACATCATAATTTGCCTTAGTAATGAGTATAAACTCAAATCTAATAGTAAAAAATTGCATCTTACATCAAAATGAGTTTGTTATAGCCAAAAATTCGTTATAGAGGTATACTTCTAAATATATATTTATTGCAAGACTATTTCTTCATTTATTTTATTAGAACCACTATTTCGTTATATCCGGGTTTGTTATATCGAGGTCTGAGTACTATTCAAGTTAAATTCAAAATTTAACCAAATTGCTACTCACTTTGAATTCGGTTCGAGCCAAAAATTTACTATTTGCACAAGCCTACTTTTGGCGCATGCATGGCAGAATTTGTGTCGCCAAAGTTATGTTTGAGAACAAGATGGCACCACTAATGGCGCAAATTGATACAACTGGCCCAGATTGAACTCACCATTGTTAATGCTTTCAATGAATGTTTGCTGCACACGGCACTCTTGTGACTCGAGGAATTCGGGCGAAAACACAATGATGGTTTTTCTACACCTGGAAAGACAAAAAGCATATCCAACTAAAGTTGGCTAGACTTCTCTTTACTCAAAGCTAGAAAAGAGCATTTGAAGCAGCTGCATTACTCGCAAAGTGTAATGAGATTGCCCTCCCTCTTTAGCATGCCCAGCTTTTCAAATTTTCAAGACTCAGGTGTGACTTGCTGAATTAGAAATGAATGTTAAAAGGCACGCCAGAGTACATAGTTTTCTAAAATATGAGTTTTAATACTTTATGATGTACTCTATGAGTACATAGTTATGCACTCATGGTTACATACTCGAGTCACTGGTGAAGGTTGTATGCCACCGTACCAGTGCCACGGGCGAAAAGGAAATAGAAAATGGAGAGAGAAAGTGAAGTAATGCCATATGTCCAAAAGGTGTCGCATGACTTGAAGATGGTGGTGGGCAGATTCGGGGTTGACGCGATTTTCTCAGTGCTCTGTAAGTTGCCGACTTGGTGCACGACAGGAAGTTTTATATGAATTTCTTTTGACCTGTGGTATGGTTTGTGTGGGGCAGACTGGGAGATAGTATATTAATTAGTGTTTAATGAAACACTCTTACTCACTAGAAGGTGACAGTGGGAAGTACCTGCCAGTTCATTGTAGGACATGTGCGAAAAAGTGCTAGCCCATATTTAATAGCATGGAGGTACTGGTGCAAGCTAAAGGCCTGGGAGCTTTTGGATCGCTAGACTTGCCTAGATAAGTGGGTCAGTGAAGCATCTGTGCGTCTCTTCAAGAAAGAGCTTGATTTTCTTGGTTAGATAGGAGTCTTGGAAAGGGAGTTTACTGCAGTGATGTGGTCATGGCTGTTTTTTGTGCACACACATTGTCACTGGAGGTAAAATTGCGTGATGTCAATGAATCAGTTGTTAGTCTTGCTTCTACTCTGGTGTCTCATCCTAAGTACAGTTTAAGGGGAGAGGCTACCATCAGATACCAACTTTTTTGTTTATCGAGATATCTCAATGAAATTTTCAGGATAGACTAATAGCAAGAGCATTGGAACTACTATAACATTTCATGAAGTTATGTTCACTGGTTCTCCAGTTATGGCAGTATGTCAGAATAGTGCACATGGTTCCTATATTCCAGGCCTGGAGAACTTTCAAATGATGCTGGAACTGTGAAGCTTGCAACGATGATTCTCAGATTGATACCTCAGGGGGTAACAGAGCTCTTTTTCTGAATTTCCTTACTGAAAAGTTCTAGGAGACCATCAAACTTAGTGTTGGTGATTGGGATATTAATATTCAAACTTTGATCAGTTATCATAAATAACGGACACAATATATTGAAAAAATGGGCTTGTTTCCCCCTCAGAAGTTTATTCACGTACATAATACAAAAAGACTTATGAAAATAGGCTGAGTGGTTCCCCTGATATGGCTGGAACAAGCAGCCTCGCAAGCCATAAAAGTCATTTTGAGAAAACGACATTTGAAAGTTTTGGGCACATATGCAAATCTAAAACAACCCTGCAGCATAACTGGAGGTGTCCTTTGGTACTGTCTTTCTTCGCCGCCTCTCTGTTTTCTCCAAGGATTACTTAAGTTTTTTTCAGGCGCAGTGAGTCTTTCTCGGCTGCCAGTTGAATGGCCAGGTGTTAGCCCCACTGATGAAGCTAGCACTTGGGTGACCTTGTAGCAGCCAGAATTGTATCAAAGCACTGTCTCATGCAATGCTGTCTCCACAGCAATTAGTGATGCATGCTACTCCTTAGGCATCAGGGACTGATTGAAATACTGAGTGAAAGGCCTGTGATGCGTTCTGCGTATTAGCTCCCAGGCAGCGCCGCAGAAGAGAAGCCTGTGAGAGCCATTCGTAAATGGGCAGATGTGCATCTGCAACATAGCATTGCACGAATGCTTCAAAGGTGGAACGCCGTTAATCTTGCTGGCATTGTGACGAGACCAAGAGTCGGCACCCTCTGGGCACAACTGGTGGTGGGGCTCCTTGTTTGTCGATGTCACGTGGTGGTACAATGCCATCACTGCCCGCTGCATTGCCACCACATCATCGGAACTGTTCTGTAAGGCCCAGCCATAGTAGCCAGTCAACTTGTCGATGAGGGCCTTTGTCAGCCTGCCCTTCCATCCAAAGGCCTTGTTCCTTTTCTGCACAAGGTTGCGAAGTGCTGTCCCCATCCTCTTCTGCACGTGGTTCAGGCATTCCTCTTTCGAAATAGGGACCAGCCCATCGATATTTCTTGTACAAGGGCAGAATTGGGCTGCCATAATTAGGCTGCCTAGCTTGGATACTAAAATCACTTCATGGTAATTGAAAAATTCTTGTAAATTAAATGAGAAAAAAAAAGGTATTGTTATAGGCAAGAATTCAACTTACCATTTCTCCATGAGTTCATAGAATGTAGAGTATTGAAGGACACCTGCTTTTAGATCTCTGTTGGGCAAGAACAGACGTAGACCCAGTGATTCCAGTTTTTCGATCAGCACCTCAACAAAGGGCCAGTCTTGGGATGTGTAACACACAAATGCGTCGTAGATAGGCGTCCCTGAATTTGAAGGTTGGAAGTGTCAGAACATTAGTTACCATAGAGAAAACATAAAGAATGTACAAATTTTACTTACTTATCGACCTGACAGTTGGAGGACGAATGACATCTGAAAGTGTTCAACCACGTAATGAGTTTTTTTTTGTTCTCAGAGCTTTACTCTGGAAAGCACAATCATATTAGTTAAAAAAAATATCTCTATCACCTGCTTCACATTGAATCCAGGAAGCCATGAATTACGACATGAATTGAAAGCATTAAGCAATTGACAGCCAAATATTTGCTCATGATTAGCAAAACAGGTGATGTACAATAGTATGAAATTAAATGTTTGTCATGAAGATCAAGGATAGATTACAGGGTATCCTAATCTCATGGCACAATGTTTTTTTATTACATTGCTTTCCATTCCATACATAACAATGAAATATATACATGTAGGCCCTGTTCATGAAGAGGCTGCACAATTGGTTTGTGAGAGTTATCAACTAACATAAAGCTGGACATGGCAAATGCCACGCCTTTACTAACTCGTAAACAGATGTCCCAAAATACGAGCTGCAAAAGAATACATTAGCTTTGCATGAACATCAGTCTAGTTTTTTAAGCTCAGTTAAATATTGAACCTTATTGTTTTTTTTTTACCAAGCAGCGCTTGCAAGTTGTCAGCTCTACTGCCTACTAACCTGAAATCCCGCCAGACTGTTTTCTTCGGTAGAATTCAATGTCTTGTCCTGTAAGGAGGTATCAGTTTAATGAAATAATAAAAATAAAGGAAGTTTGACCTAGCAAACTGCCAAAAAATTCATTGTAATGCAAATTGTCAGCAAGCCGGAACGAGCCATATAAGACATGTGCTGTTTAAGAGCTTGTGTTGCTCTTTGCTTATGTTGACTTTCCTGCAAGCATTTTATTCTCAAAAATGTAAACATGGTATACATACTGATGTGCACACTTCTTGCCCTGACAATACTGCAGCCATTCTCATCCCAATGGTACCAAAATATTCCCTCTTCTCTCCCTTGCTACTGTTCAGAATACCAGAGAACAGAAAGTTTGCTTACACAAACTGCACGATTGACTTTCAGTGAAGTATGGATTTAAACCTGCACACCTTTGCATTTGCAATGCTTATGCACCAGGGCTACAGCCAAGCACTCTGTTAAGGTATGCATAGTCAACATTTTCAGGGCTCTTTCTCAACTTTTCAATTTAGATTTATGAGCTTATGCGGGTGACCCCTCAGAGGGCACCATGGCCTCCTGAACACCCTGTGTGCACGGCTGAACTCTAGAACAGCAGAACCGTTAGGGATGTATTTTCGTCACACAAGCACATTCACAATGTATCTCTCACGGCTTTCCATGAGATAACGTCGCATGTGCCATGTCTAGAGGTCACAAATAGCTTGTAGGCTATCACTATTACACAGCACTCTTGACAGGAAAGCGGAAGGTGCGTGTTTTCAATGAAAGAAAAGTAATCATGTGCTTAGTGTTCATGAAGCAGAAAGAGACCCGAAAAGTGGTGGGTGCCCATTGTTTTTTGCTACTTTTTGCTACTCACAAATGGATGAAAATTTGACCCCCCTGTCAAAGCTTTTACACCATGAGGGTCTTTTCAAGCCTGATGTGCCTGACATACCAAGAAAGAAAGACACACGTAAGAGTTTTGCTTACGTAGCTCTGCTTCGATGTCGTCAAGAACGTCGTATCTCTCAAGGCACATCAGGTGCTGCACAAGGAGGCTGACAGTTGCCACGGGTCGTGCATCCCACTCGTCTAGCAAAGATGCCGTCGGGCTCTTTCCCCGTTCCTTGAGGAGCTCCACCTCGTCACAGCTGAAGCCCGCCAACAGTGCCAGTCCTCGCCAGTCACGATGACCAGACGGCCCCAAAAGCAGTTGCGGCACGTCGAGGCGCATGGCAAGTATGGCGCGACACTTCAGACCGACTACAGCGATCGGAACATCTTGGAAGTTGTTCGGCGTCAGCTCGGCAGTCTCCTGCTTTGGGAGCTGCGGATAGGCCATGATCTGCCTGTCGGGCATTAATGATCTGAGAGACGATACAATTAACACTGTGACGACATCACATATGGAAATTGCTTATCTGGCTATAGCTTATGTAGCCCTTCTTGGTCCGCTGTGTGGTGTATGGCCATTCCTGTTCAAAAAACCAAAAGAAAGAACAAAATGTGAGGTACAATAATGTGCATGTTATTTTGCCTATCTATCTGAAAGGTATCAATTAAAAGGCATATACCTATAGCTGACTGCAGCCACTAGTAAGCACTCTTAAATTGCTTTCTGGGCTTTTGCATACTCGCTACCTTGGCTGTGGCTATGCTCCACTGCAAAATGTGAGAAGCTCACAAGTTTGACTGCTAGTCATGGCAGCCACAACTGCACTGGCACGAAACACAAGAGCACCAGCAGACTCCTCGTGCATGCTGGGCTAATTAAGTGCTCATTAACTAGCTGTCGACGGGCCTAATTTAATCCAGAAGCATCCATGGTGGAATCTCAAACACGAACCGTTTCGTGATATTAAAACTAAAACTTTAATCCATTTAAATCAGTGGCATAAATTCAGAAAAATCACAAGAAGGGAATATAGGTTTTGCTATGGAGGCCGTTTCTTCTTTATTAATATAGGTTTTTATTTATGATAACCAATTTAAAATGTTGCTCTGAAAAAAAATAATAAAGCCAGGATAAGATTCACCGCATTTGTACTGTACTACTGGGTGTTCCCAGAAACTTGTCAAACAGCAATTTCAATTAGGGTTACTCCTGGTGGCTGCTTTGTGCCAAATTGGCTACTTTAGTGCCCAGTCCGGCTCTAAAAAGTCTAGGTTACACCATGGTGCTTTTTCAGCTACTTTGAAACTTCCATGCTGGTGCATTTAGTGGTCAATTTTTCTATAATTAGCAGGTAAAAGAACAAGCAATCTTTAATACCACTCACTGCTGCATCAGGCAAAGGCCACGCATGTCCTTGCCACTATTCACAGGCGTGTGCAGAGAAGAGGGGGCGCGGCGCAAAGCATGTCTCATAAATTGACAATAGGGAGGAGGAGGGGTTCTTCCCCTGAAGCCCACAGTTATGCTCGCCACAGCCCCGAAATACACGACACGCCTGCAAGACAAAGTGACTAAGTTACATGCGTGCTGGCAAATGCACGGCTAGTGCGCTGGTCACGCAATCCCAGTATCCTTTCTGGAGTTTGTTATGATCACACAGTACGTTTCTTGCACAAACTTGAAAAAAAAAAAAGCCGGACATAGCAACAGAAAGTAACTTTCGTATGTTATCGGTCGTATACATGGCGGTAAATGGGCGTCACACGGGGAAACATGCCGATGGCGATAGAGCCCCGATCAAGAACGCAATCTCGCCAGTAATACTTGGTCGTGATAAGCTTCCCACTGCATCTTGCGCAAGTTAACTCTATCGCGATCAAGACACTCCATTTCGGCCTGTCTCAACCGCGATCAAATTAGCACGGTGCGATGAAGAAAACGCCATGCGGTGCGTAAAATGTGTGTCCGGATTCCTATATTTAAAACACCAGTGTAGTATTACACGAATGTTAAAGAAAACATGAGCAGTTTTTTTTCTCTTTAGAAATCAGCGTCAGCAAGAAGAAATCAGAGTACTTAAACTATGCGGGAAAAGCGTCCGAAGGACATTAAAAGCGGCGCGACCTGGTTGTACGTAGTAGGTAAATCCCCGGAAAAACCGGGTATTCGTAAAATATCAGGACTGCAAGCGGACATCTCGCTTTCTCGTTAGGCGCAAGGATATTCTGCCATGTAAAATCAGCAGCCGGTGATGGATGTCAATCACATCAACGACGTTTGTGGCTGCATTATGCGAACGACTTTCGTTTTACGTACACGGCGAATATTGACCGCGCACCCAAGTCGAATGCGATCGGGACAGACACAAACTGCATCATCGCTTAGAGATAAACGTAGAGAAGATAGAACTGAAAATAACGAATAGAACAGCATGCTTTTTTTTTTTATCACGACGCTACGGAAACTGTACACAGATATTCCTAGTATCGGCCGTCCCAAAACGGAAGGCGCGTTTGTCGCGGAATGTGTCACCGAAAGGCTGTAATCGCACCGCTAGCAAAGCTAAACATACCTAATGGCCACTGATTAGGTCCGTCGGAGTAGCGCTCCGTCGCAGTACACTTCAATAAAACATTTTAGAAACTTTTGAGGATCTACAGGTGCCTGAATCAACACGTACCGTAAACAGGCCAGTCCGAGCTCGCTCCTTCGGCCTCTCTGTTGCGCTTTGCTTACGTCACAGTAACATGTCACGTTACAATTTTTAAACTTTTCAAACAACTTGTGCTTGTTTAAAAATAAACTTTACCTTCCTACTGAAGTAATATATTACTTTTTGTTTTGAACCTTTTGAATAACTGCAACATAAAGTTATTGTTAGAGCGCTGGTTAGAGGGGCGCTGCAAGCTGCAGTTGAAGCAGACGACAAAAAGAAAACGAAGGCACGAAGCAGCGTTGGAAGTAATCATTTGAGAGAATTCTAATGCAGAAAGCTTTACATTTGGTAAAACTTAGGTCTCATGATGCATGAATTTTCTCTAGAAAGCGATAGAATAACTTTGCCAGCTTTGCGATCAGCGGCTGGCTTGTGTCGCGCCGAAATTTCTCACAATGTCAGCAACATCGACGTCCCTCATTATATTCCGTCTATTTCCTTCGTTTGTGGTGCTGCGTTTGATTCACGATAAACTACAAATCTACAAAGGCAGACTATCTCACTGTCCTTCTGCAGTGATACCTACGAAAAAGTAAACATTTTCGGTGAACTACTATAGCTAGCTAATGTTCTTGTGTGATGACTGCCACTGTTTTCTATGCAAAATGTTTATACTGCAGAAGATTGGTTTTTTTTAAAGGCGAGGCTCCTTAGGGCGCGGGCTGTGCGTCCCCTGTAGCCTGTATGTAGCCACCTCTAGTTTAGTTCTTGCAGTGTTCACTAGATGGCGGTACCGTCCCCTGTATGTAGCCACCTCTAGTTTAGTTCTTGCAGTGTTCACTAGATGGCGGTACCGTCTCCTGTATGTAGCCACCTCTCGTTTAGTTCTTGTAGTGTTTACTAGATGGTGGTACTTGTAGCTGATGATGAAAAGATGCAAGATGTTATAAACTAGAAAGTGGTACTTGTAGTTGATGAAAGACGCGAGATCTTATAAAATAGGAATGATGTCACATATGGCGCGTGTCATTGGTTGAAGGCAATCGTTCGATTTAGTGCGGCGACGTACACTAGGGGGAGCGTTGTAATAAAATCCGTTCGCTGTTGGTGCGCGCTCAGAGTCGCCGGATGGATAAGGCTGCACAGCGGAGAGAGCGCAAGGTGGCAGCAGCGCGCGCTCGCAGACAGAATCCCGATGTGCGAGCGCGCGAGGCAAGGGACATCGCAAGCCATCCATCGTCTAAGAACAAATAAAAGTTGATTTGTGTATATACACACACAGCGTTTCTCACGTCTTTACATGATGATCGACTGGGCGAATTACACGGAAGATTCACAGTTTACCGATGAATCCCTCCGGAGCTTCGCCCATTCATCATCATCCACCCCGTGAATATGCCGTAATTTTTTTTTTCAGTTAGGCAGCGTTGCACTGCAGGTGGTTTTCATGCCCATCGGCGGTAATGCTTTACAACGCAACACGTACAACTTTACGAGGACATCAATCAATGACTCATCAAAGACATCTTCTTACCATCTATGTTTTGCTACAGAGGCTAGCTATTAAGTTTCAGGAATGTGATCACACTCCTCTTCTGTAATTAGACACACTAAGTAGTTCAATTATAGAACGTATGATTCTACCGCAATGAACTTCTTTAATTAACTTAAAGGAAGGGTACGCACACCATTCCTTTCTTGTTGTAGCAACTGCGTTGCTCTGTGTTCGCCTCAAATTAAATCAATTCCGCCACAAGCTTTCGGTATGAGGCGTTAGCATTCGGGGATGCTGCTGGTGTATGCTCTTCCTCGGTGCTCGTCACTGGAGCCATGAGGATCCTCACACTTCCAACATCAAATGCCAAATCCGAAAGAGTATTTTCTTACGCAACCTTGACTAACGCGGAACTTCACAACAAGATGAAGCTTGACCTCTGGATTTCCATTTTAGGGATCTAATGTGACCTTCATCTGCAGTGTAAGACGTACGTCAACAAACTACATTGTTTCTGGGGAAGTCTTTCGCTCATCATGACGGCGAATTACCCCGGGGCTTCCATCATTTACCCTTCCGTGATACCCGGGAAGTGCGTCGAGGTCAAGTACCTAGGGACATGCTAATGGCCCAGAGGCGCATATGTGGAATAAAAAAAAATATTCACTTGAGTATTTTATGATGTTCTCGGTGAGTGAGCAGTAAAAGCAATTGCAATATACCGATTGTCTCTATCTGTTCATTGAGGCGACTATATATAAGAAATAAGCAGAGGTGCCTGATGTCATATTAATTCGTACTGCAAAAAGAATAAAAAACACTGATAATTTGTGCCTCTAAGATGTATTATCTTTTCGTGACGTGAAACCCCAACAGCTATTAAAGATGTATTTTACCTTCAATAAAGCTTTAATTCATGCAAGGGGCGTCACGCTCTCTACAAAAATGCTGCCATGCTTTCCACACGATCTTTACCCCACTTTCACCTTTAAAACGAGCGGACTGCAGTGGAAGAATGTCTTGAGCGTTCCATTCATAAAAACAGTACACCCTTGCACCAAATGCCCATCTCAGGGCTGGTCGGCGAACAAGACGCCCCAAGTACTCTCATGGTGAAGTTGTAAATGCCATTGGCATAAAAAAAAAAGTCAGTATGAATTAGGGGCTGTGGATGGTACTGCTTTCTACAGTGTCATACAAAATCTTCAATCTTTATTAGTAGTAGCAGTAGGCATACCACACACATCTATAGTGGCGACATTTTTTGGCAATACTTGGAGAAAAATGGCGACTTTTGGCGACTTCTTGATCGTCGTTCAGCGACATTGGCTCGCAAGTCAGTAGCAACCCTGGTGAAGCTTCTATACTGGAGTGCGGCAGTTTGGGCTAGTTGGTATGACATGACGATAGTTGTAGCACGAGAACAGAACGACGACAAAGTCCTTTTTGTCTTTTTGTCGTCGTTCTGTTCTCGCACTATAACTATCATCGTTCTATACAGGACGCTATGGTGGTTCTAAAACAATAAGGGCGCATTTGTAAAGAAAGAGCGATTTTCACTGCATTGTCAGCCAGAGGAACTTGTTTTCACTGAATTGCCAAGCAGACGCCTTCTCTAGAAAGATGCCTGCCGCATGAAATGAAAAACAGCTGCCACACCCTTTCCCTCCTTTATTTTAGAATGTTGTCGGTCACTGGCGTCACTTGTGGCGAACGGTGCAACAACGCAACACTTTGTATAGCCTGGAGATCTATCGAACCTTTAGTTCGATAGATCTCCAGTGCGGACTTCTTAATCCTGCAAATTCTTCACATGCCAGTCTCCGTTTCCTTCACTTTCTTCTTAACCGATAGTTTTTTTTTTGTTTGGCCACCTGCTGTTTTCTAAGTATTTACCAGTCAATTTCCTGGTTCGCTTCCTCCATTTTGTCTCGACAATCCTCATGTACAAGTAGCTGAAAAGCTTCCTAGCCCAACGCTTCTCCCTCATTTCTCGCAATCGCTTCTCAAATTATATCTTGCCGCTAGCTTCCCTGCCCTCACATGATGTCCATCCCATATCACCTTGTACTCCCTGATTTGGTGTATTCCCGTGAGCTCCTAAAGCAAGCCTACCTATTCCACGTTGCTTAATTTCTAATCTTGCTTGAACATCTGATCTCACGCACAAGACCGCATCGCCGAACGTCAGACCAGGAACCATGACCCCTTTCCATATTCCTCTCACAACATCATACCTATTGTAATTCCACAGTGCCCTATTTTTCATCACTGCTACATTCCTGTTACGTTTTAGTTGTTACTTGTATTTCGAGCTTCCTTAGGTACTCGGTCCCATTGCTTATCCATACGCCCAGATATTTGTATTTATCTGTTATCTTTAGCGTGACTTCCTGTATCCTAAGCTCACAACCTTCATTATCATTAAAAATCATGACTACTGATTTTTCTTTACTGAATCTGAAATCTAACATATCTCCCCGAGCATTTGTAATGAAAGAGCGATTTTCAGTGCATTACCGGCCAAAGGAACTTGTTTTCACTGAATTGCCAAGCAAACATATGAATGGATGAATAGGTGAATAAATATGGCTGCACCCTTTAGATTGGGTAGTGGCTAGCGCCACGAAGCCGTAATACTTAATGAACCAAAAACTAGATTTATTTATTTATATAGTGTCAGTCGCGAGCGCCACCGCGCGGCGCTTGCTCAAAACTAAAGGCAGGCCGACTCCGCTGAAAGCGCGAGCCATTCCTCAGGCTTCTTTCTAGACAACGCCTCCTAGATTTCTCTTGCTTGCCGGATGAGCGCAAAACACCCGTCATCTATGAAGACGCTGCCTACGCAGGAGTAAGGGTCTTTGAACTTGGCCTTTGAGGTTGGCAATTGTAGCGTTTACTTCTAGTTTCAAAGGCTATGCCTTGATTCGAAAAAGTTGCTTGCTAAATGACGGTGTCAGTTACGTAGGGTTAATTATATTTACATTTACGCCTTTTTTAAAAAATTTTACGTTATAAGTTCCAAAACCGTAAAAACTTATTTGAAACACCCCTACTTGAGTGGCGCCACCACCATAGTTCCGACGACCGCCGCTTCCCACGGAGGAAGGAAAAGGTAAGGAGAGGCCCTGACGTCACTCGTTGTGAAGCCGCGATGAAGCCGGAAGTCGGCCATATTGAGTAGGCAAATTCTCCTCTCTTGTTTACATATGAATGCGAAGCAGAAGGCGCGACTCCCTCTCCGGCTCGGAGAGCACGTGGGCTGCGCAGCGCGTGTGTCGTGACGATCCGAAACTAATGGAACTGGGCTCATCACTCAGAGCCAGCGGGACACCTTCAGCGAAATCGCTTCGTCCGAGTAATAACAAAGAGTAACAGCTCGCTGACAACGAAGCAACTACGAAAGAACGCGCGCTAGATGCACTGACAACGGTGAGTGCTTTCACGTCATTAATTCAGCAACTGTACAGACAACACGATCAGTCGTGCGCGTTCTACGGTTGCATTCCGCCACGCGACTGACGCAGCGTCCTGCCACTGTGTCCGTGTTCCGCGTGAAACTCACCTGCGTCAGCATTCTGCGACCGT